TCCAAAACACGCAGCCATCGCACGGGAGCCCCTCAGCCGGCGGCCGAGTTCCCGCTCTCTGTGCATCGCCTCCCCGTCCCGCTTTGTCACCGAGCACAAACTGGTGCTGCCCCACACGTCCACCCCAAACACTGCCACAACAAACACCACCTGCTTTGAAGAAGGAAGGAGGAGGTCACGGGGTAGCCATTTCGTAGCCATTTGCCACTGATGAGTCACTGGCTGACATTTGTGAACGCTCTGGAAGCTCACTGCAAGGAGAGCGAAGCCCCGCGGCAGCGGAGGACGTGGGATGGAGCATCTCCTTTCCTGCAGCAGCACCGTAAGGAGGTGAGAAAAAGCAAGCAGCAGGGCCACGATTTGCCCATAAAAAAATGTTTATTCCTTGAAAATACAAGGCTCACCTGCAGCGACACAAGTGTTCAGAACATTTTTTTAGAAGGGTTTTCGTCTGTTTCCAGCGTCAGGAGCAAGGAGAGCAGGAGCTGCACCATGGGCAGCCCGGTCCCCACAACGGCTCCTTTCCCCCATCCCAGTGCCCGCACCCAAGGGAGCCACCCTCAGCAGCAGCTCCAGCTCCCAGAGGCACCCACTCCCATGGCTCCCTCTGGACACGGAGCAGGTTTGGCACCTGCAGCGGCATCTCACTGGCATCCTCGCTGTCCAGGGAGCCCATCTGCAGAACGGATTTCTCCTGGTGGCAAAGAGCACACAAGGTTTCAGGGAAACCTCAGTCCCTCTGGAAGGGCCTCGGTAAAGAAAGGCTGGAGCAGGGAAAAGCAGGACCCAGGACTCATCTGGCCCCTACTTGCTTTTACAGCACAGAGCCATCGCTCCGTAGGTCCCAGCTCCACTCCCTCCTGCTGCCCCCCAGAACAACCACCATGAAACTGCAGAAGATGGTCTCAGCCACACCAGCTCCTGCAGGACGGGTCTCTTGCTGGCCAAGGTGGCCTGTCCAAATCCCAACTCCCACTCTGCAGCAGGAGGACTAACGCACGCAGCACCTCGGCCATCTCGGCTGGGGCAGAAGATGGAGGATCCACATGGCAGCAAAGACACAAGGGGTGTCGATATGTCAGAAACCACAGCCGTGTCTGAGAACAGTCACGTAAGAATTAGGGCTTCTCTCCCCAGAAGGTGTTGGGATCAAGAGTCCAGCTGAAGTGTGGCTACACCAACGCACAGAGCCATTGTGCAGATGGAAAACTCCGACAGTCACAATCACAGAAACCTGGTGGGACAACTGGTGCAGCTGGAGCTCTGCAGTGGACAGCTGTAACCCCTTCAGCAGGGACAGGCGAGGGGGGGGCCAGTGTGTTACGGAGCATTTTGACTGTCCAGAGCTGACGATCCCAGTGGAGCCGGTCACCAAGCTCCAGTACCAGGGCTTGGTACTGCAGCCAGCTCTGTTTGAAATCCTCACCAAGGATCTAGAGGAGGGGACAGAGTGCACCCCCAGTAAGTCTGTGGACAACACTAAACTGGGCAGGAGAGTGCTCATCTGCTCGAGGGAAGGAAGGCTCTGCAGAGGGATGTGGACAGGCTGGATGGGTGGGCTGAGGCGTGTCACCTCACACCT